TGAACATTGGGAAATAGACCAGGGCTAGCTGACTGAGAGACCAATCATGATAACATTGAGATAATGTTTGTAGGCTGGGAAAAACAACAGAAACAAAACGGAGGAAAATATATCAGCACCTCTCAGTCAGTGAGGTGTGTCTGCAGCTTGTTTAAGGTTCACAACACAAGGATCTTGCTGGATCCCTAACTGCTCCTGGATACTCAAATAACAGTTTCCAAAAATGCTTTTTTTCTCCTCTGTGCTTGGCAAGAATGTTGTTGTGTCCTTTTCTCTCAAGTGTGGACATCACTGTGGGATCCATGCTTTTGTCATCTCATGATTGGATTATGATAGTGCAGAACATGCAGATTTGCTTGTTAAGCAAGCAGCGTTTCACCCTGTTTCACATTACTTCTGTGATCCATGATCTGCACTGGCTAAGAAATTATTTCTTGGTGAAGTCTAAGGTGTTGATTTCAACCTATAAAGCCCCAAATGGTTTGGGTCCCATCACCTTGTACGACTGACTCTTTCCCCATATTACAGCTATTGTTCCAGGCACTCAAGCTAATAGCCCCCTGGTTGAATTGGGTATAACAGCCAGGAGGTGAATGTGAAAGGTCTGTGGCTCACTAATGCACTCTCTGCTTGGTTGATCCAAGCCTGAATTTGGTGACCTGAAACACTCCCCTATTCTCTCAGAGGACTGAGCTGGAGTTGAAGAAGGAAGTTAAGATGGAAGCCATGCTGATGGTTGGAAAGGATGTATGGGAAGTCTGTTAAGATTTAGTATTATGGTAAGATTTGTGTTCATAATGTATGTAATGTGATGAGAGCTTAAAGTAGGAGCAAAAAGATAAATTGAAGTCTGTAATGAATGAATTTTAATAATATTTTAATATGTTATAAGGGAAGTAAGGATACTGATAAATTAAAACAGAAAATGCTCTCTCCTACAAAAACAAATTGCCCTGTTTTGTAGGTCTGAAGCTGAAATCTCACAACAGATGCTTTAAAATGACTGGATTTTTTTTAAAAAACTAATGTAAATATAATATGTATGTGTGACCCACTCCCATCAGGCATGTCCCCAGGTCGCAGACAGGGGAACATCCTGCAGGTATGTTATGAATATTCAATAAGTAGTCATGAACCAACTGGTGACATTTCCTAGCAGGATGTGGTGGGATAGTTAGTGGTGTGTTGTCTCTATAAAATGCCACTTAGTCCCGAGGATGTCAAGGAGAATAAAAACCACCATAAAAAAAATCTTGCCATGGCAAGTGGGGCTCGTCAGCTTTGGCGAGCAGCTCATCTAGAAGGAGAACTCTGATTTCAAACCAAATGTGTCAGGCTTGGACAGCTGACCTGTAAAGCTCGTCCAGTAAATAGGCTCATGTGAACAGATGTCCATGTGAAATGTACCCCAGAGGGCTGGGGCATTCCCCACAAGCGATATCAATAGGAAAGCTCTCACAATGATTGTGGACAGAAGATGACAGAGGGAAAGACCAAAGACTTGGTACATGGATCAGATATCAGTGGACCTCAGAGAGATCAATCTACACGAGAGCTTGGTATATGATTATGAGTTTTGAAAGAAGGCTATAAAAGTTGCTGACCCAGAATAGGGAAGTAGCAAGAAAGAAGAGATGGGATAATGTATAGCTGCAGCAGTTAAGAACCGATGAACATTCTCAGGACAAGTTTGAGAATCCTTCAATCATCAACAGGCTTTGTGGTCTGAGTCATTAAGCCCCTCGTCTCATGCAGAATTTTCACTGAAGTCAAAGGGAACCATGCATGCAAACATCTTTCAGGATTTGGTCCTTGTTTGCTGGTGACTTCTAGTGTAGAATTAGAAAATATTAAATAGCCATTCAAGGGTTTAATCTGCTCATGTGCTAGGCAGCTCCTGAGAGTTGAGAGTGTTTCTTAACTTTGATTGAAGTCAGTGATCATTCAGAGCACTGAGCATCACTCAAGCGGTGTGCAAGGAGCTGTCCTTAAATTATGTAAGGAATTAGGGGATGAGTGAGTCCTTAATTTTGCATGTTGGTTTCAGTGTTACAAGGGGTGGATGGGTCTTGAAAATTACTTAAAGATTTGTTACATAATTTATGGATGCCTCAGGATTGAGCCCTGAAGAATCACTGACTATATATACATTAACAGGAATTCTTCTAGATTCATTTTCATGGGTTTCTGGTGACAAGAACCTGTTGTTCCGCTATCAAAAATTTCTATTAACTTTCATTATGGTCTACATTAATGAAATGAGGGTCAAAAGTGACTGGTACTGAATGTGGACTGTAAATGGAATGACCGAATATTTTCCCTCCT